ACACACACACACACACACACACACGCGCATACCTGGCGTGAATTTAAGCCACTGGGTCCGGGACTTGAAGTGCGGTCGACTAAGTGGGAGTCCAGCCACATAGCCATGACACCAGCTGCTGGTCCCGAAAGCTTAATTTTTATTAAGAGATACTGTTTAATAGATAATTTCTTTTAAGATTTAAAAATATAATTAATCTACTTACAGTTTGTTTAAAGCAAAATTCAGATAAATAACTAACTTTTTAGATGTGACCTTTCTAAATCATGAAGGAATAAATGTGATTAATATTTCAAGTATTTTTAAGACAAATTATAAATATTTTATTATCTCTTTTATTATTTTTTTCAGATTTGAGATGTTTACGGCATCTCTCCTCCTTTTCCTTTCCCTCCTTTTTCCTGCCTCCTCTCTCCTCTCTTCCCTTCTTTTCTTTCCTTCCTTCGTTCAAGGCTGCAGGCTTTCCTGATTCTTATGTGGTCCTGTAGGCCATTTGCTGCCTCACCTATTCCTTGTGCTCTTGCAGGGCGCAGGTGTTCGGGAATGGAGGTGCTCTCCAGTGCTTCACCTGGTTGTAGAAGGGTTTCTGATGGGCATTTTGGTTTCTTAGGTGCTTCCAGCTAAATGCGGGAAAATGAAGTTCTGTGTAGTATTTTTAGACACAGATGGGTGTGGATACTGGGAAAAGAGAGGATTGTTCAGGTTTTCCCAAACTACCCACTGATTTTTGGCCTTTAACAATTGGTTAGAGTATTTTTGAGGAGCAGTAAACTTTTGTGGTGTTGGAGGGGAGACCCTCGATTGGCTTAGTGTTTTCAGACGTATTTACTAGCACCTCCTCTGTCTGGAACTCAGCCACTTGAAACACGGCCAAGAACAAGGCAGTAAGTGTAAAAGGCCTCCACCGGCGGTGGCGGTCAAAATATAAGTAACAAAGATGTTATTTGTAGGAGACTGTTCAAGTAAACTTATTTTCTTTTTCTATTCAGTTCTCTGATAAGTTTGTTGATCCATTTTCTGATTTCATAGCAGATTAAAATGAAAACAGTAACCGGCTACAAAAGAGAGAGCACAAAAACTGGGAAAAGAAAGGACTCTTAAGTAGGGCCAGGGTGGTTTGTAAAAGGAGAAAACCATCCTACCATAAGCTCTAAGGGCATCGGCATACACTGGTTGATATATGTTCTTGGTCAAACTAGAAACCGTAAAAGACAAATAGTGAACCACGGTTATTCCAGAAAAAGGTGTAACTTAAGTTCAGCATAAAATGGGACAGGAGTATGTAGTGCCCTTTAGAGATTTGTATACCAATTGGTTAGAGTTAAAACAAAAAAAAGTTATGGGGCTGGCAGGTGGCATGGTGGTTAAAGGTGCTGGATTCACACATGGCTGACCACGGTTCAAGTCCTGGACCTGGAGGCCTGCTTTCTTGCTTTCCCTTTCTCTCTCTTTTTGGTCAAAGTAAAAAATAATAACAAAGGAAATTAAATAAATTTTTAAAAGTTATGTTTCTAAGCAGTGTTTAAATCTTAGCATTTAAACAGTTTTTTAAAAGAGGTTTTTCTTGAAGGAATTTATTTTTAACTTTTATTTATTTGTTTGTTTGTTTGTTTATTTATTTATATCTCTCTAACCAGAGAGGGACAGAGTGAGAGAGAGAGAGAGAGAGAACAAACTGCTAAGTCCAGGACTTGAACTGCAGTTGGCCATGTGGGAGTCCAGTGCCCCTAACCACCACACCATCTGCTGGTCCCTTTTTTTAAAGAGGTTTTTGTCTTAGGGTATGTGCACTCTCTAGAGAAAGATACATACAGTGACAGGGAAAGCGAGAAATAACCCCCCAGGGAAGATGGTCACGCCACAGTCCCTTCTCCTCCATTCTCCTTCCAGGATCTTAGGCATGCAAACACATATACCTTGTGTGAGTTTCAAGCCCCTGGGTCAATATTCAAACTGCATTTGTCCATGTGGAGTTCAGCAATGTAACTGCTATCCCACCTGCTGGTCCCTAAACAGTTTAAAACGCATATAAATCTTAGAACAACTCATTATTTATATATTTTTAGAGCTTTTTTTTTTTTTTTTGCTATAAGGTGTGTGTGCTCACCAGAAAGACAGAGAGAGACAGAGAGACAGAAAGTGAGAAATCACCCCCCCAGGGGAGATGGCTACGCCGCAATCCTTTCTCCTCCATTCTCCTCTTGGGGTCTTGGGCACACACGCACACGTGCCCAGTGTGAATTTAAGCCACCAGGTCCAGGACTCGAACCGTGGTCAACTACATGGGAGTTCAGCAACATAGCCATTACACTAACTGCTGGTTCCAGACAACTCATTATTACAAGAGTCGTAGATAAATTTTGTTATTTTTATTATTTGCTATTTGGTTGTATATATTTTTAGATGGAGAAGGAACTTAAGAGATCTTTATAGGGGAACACCTTTATTGGCTGGAAAACAGGTTCAGAGAGATAAAGTGACTTATTCAACACATAACTCCATGGGGCTAGGATTCAGATCATTCTTCCATTTGTAATATACAAGATGCTATTTTAAAAACAGTCTATGGGCTAGCAGGTAGTGTGGTGGTTGAGGTGCTGGACACTCCCACACGGCTGACCATAGTACGAGTCCTGGACGTGGTTGCTTGCTTTCTCGCTTTCCCTGTCTCTCTCTGTGTGTCTTTCTCTGCTCAAATTAAAATAAATGAGAGAATAAATAAAATTAAATAATTCTTAAAAAAAAAAGTCTAAAGTTGCTCTGTTCGTTGTGGTAGCAAGTAGGCACATGTGGCTATTTAAATTAATTCAGATTAAATACAATTAAAAATTCATGGCCAGCTGGTGGTATGGTGGTAGAGGCCACTGGATCTCACATGTCCGACTGAGTGGTTCAAATCCTGAACCCAGTGACTTGAAAAACACAATAGGCACATGTATGTAGGTGCCCAGAATCCTGAAAGGATGAATGGAGGAGGCATTGTAGCATGACCATGCCCAGTGGGGGTTGCTTTCTTACTTTCCCTCTTCTCTCTCTCTCCCTCTCTGTTTCTCTTTAGCAAGCACAGGCATTCTTTAGCAAATTTTAAAAAATTCAGGTCCTGGTTTGCATTGGTTATATTTCATATTCTTAGGAGCCATGTACTTTACTGCACAACACAAACAAAGAACACTTCGATTGTTGTAGAAGGTTATTTTGAACAGTGCTGGTCTAAAGCGCAATTTATTTTCATAAATAAACTAGAGATGGGTCCAGCAGGTAGTGTGGTAGGTAAAGGCACTGGATTCCCCCATGGCTGACTGCAGTTTGAGTCCCGGACCTGGTGACTTGCTTTCTCACTGTTTTTTTGTTTTGTTTTGTTTTCTTTTCTTTTGTTATTGTTGAGATTTTTGCTATAGGATGCATTCACTCACCAGAGAGACAGAGAGACAGAAAGTGAGGAATTACCTTCCGGGGGGATGACCACACTGCAGTCCCTTCTCCTCCATTCTTTTTTTGGGATTCTGGTCACATAGCATGCGCGCCCAGCATGTTTTAAGCCACCAGGTCCGGGATTCTAACTGCAGTCAACTACTTGCAAGTCCAGCAACATAACCGTACCCCATCTGCTGGTCCCACTTTTTCACTTTCTCTCTATCTTTTTCTCTCTGGTAAATGTGCATGTTCTATATAAAGTTATATAATATTAATAATAAATAAAATAAAAAAAGAGATATAGTTGAGTTTTTTAGAAGGAGCTATATAAGATAGCTAGAGGTTTCAGAGCCACAGTTTCTTTGTTCTGTTGGAATATATTACAACAAGCAGTGAAAAATTCATGTCATGACTTTATTCTCAAATTGAATATTTGAATTTCAAGGATGAAGAAGATGATGATGACTATGTTGAAGAAGGGGAAGAAGAAGATGAAGAGGGTGAGTTATAGTAGCCATAAACAAATTCTGAGATCAGAGATACTGTATTTTTTATGGACTTTGAAAAATAAGACTATAATGTAAACTATTACTGATCATTTTGTTTTGCTGTATTTATCAAAGTGCCTTGAAGGGTTTTAAGAAGTCTTTTTTTAAAGTCTCAGGGCATTCATTAATTTCATTGTGGGGAGGGAATTCCAGCTTATAACATTTACGAGAGGTCCTCAAAAAGTTCATAGAAAGTGCATATTAGGAAAAATGTATGCATGGCTACAATTTTTTTTCTACCAAAATAAATTCAGATTTTTAATTTAATTTTTCCACTCATTTTTTTTTTCCCCCATTCATTTTTTTGAAATCCCCTCATACTTTAAAAACAGGAATGAAAGCTCTGGAGCTTTGAGCTCAGTGTATTTTCCCCTCACTTTGGAGACAGAAGCCTATCTAAAAAGAAGAAAAGCCACACTTCAGATCGTGTCCTTTTTAGATTTGCCCGCTGGTATGCTGTACCTATGTCTTCCAAAATAATTTTTAAAAAACCTTTGTTTCTTGATCTGTACTTCACTGTATGCCCACAAGGGTGCATAGCAAGCTGTCATTATTTCTGGATTCGAAGTCTGTCAGTTCAGTACACAGAAGTCCAGAGAAATTCAGAGAGAAAACTTAACCTGTATATTTTTATCTGCCATTAACTTTTCACTAAGATTCAAAACTCTGTAACTTAATAGATGTTTATTTGTTAAAAGCATTCTACACCTTTTCTTCCACACTTCTTTCAGAAGATGAAGGTCTTCGAGGAGAGAAGAGGAAACGAGATGTTGAGGATGTTGGCGAGGAAGATGACTAGATCATTCTAAGACCGGATTCCCTAACGTTCCCGGGTGTGCAATAGAATGATCACATCTCTGTTTCTTCATGTATGATAGCTGTCCCTACAGAAGATAATGTGTAACTTTTTATAGGAAAAGTGTGGTTTTACTATTTTTGCCTTATCATTCCAAATAAGATCTTCTAGTCTGTTAATGATCATATCATATGTAGAGAACATTTTTCATTGACCCTCCCCCTACTGTGAAAGTCCCTAGCAGTTTATTTAGAATCTTAATTTTTCTAATTCAGGCTCATTGTATTAGTCATTTTTAGCCCAGAATTAAAACATGATCGCTTTTTCACAGATGTAGTATGGTGCATTTCATCCATAAGTTTTTAAAGTTATTTATAAATTAACTGAAGTTACAGTCAGCTATAATATGAAATGACCATAGTCTCTTGAATGCTAAGTTGGTTATTTTTTTAGAGATGATCCAGAGATCTTTAGTTTGAAGGCAATGACTCTTTTTTGGCTATGGATATTTGGGTGCTTTTTTGTCACACGAGTGACTTGGAACGTAGAAGCAGAATAGTAAGCCGAGATCGCTCATGGATCTTCTGAGGAGGTTTTATTCAGTAATATAGTTCATGAATTTTGTGGTGACCGATAAGATTTTATTTTTGAAGGAGAAAATGCTTTTACTAAGTCCAGACACATGCCGGCGAGCCCTTGCTTCAGGCTGCAGATCGCAACATGCCAACGGTTGTGTATTTTGCTTTGTTTTTAGGTGCGCGTTCTTTTCCCTCTAGCAATTCCTTTATGATCACCTTCCCTTCTTGTTTCATCCTCTGTCTACTAACTCCAAAAAAAGTTGGGAAACTTGTGGATACCCAGGAAAACCTTTAGCCTTATACCTCAACCACATTTCAATGTCTGGGTTTTAAACAAGCAAAGCGAAAGCAGTGGGGTATTCCTGCAAGATGAGTACTATTATTGATCGTTTCATGCAATACGCTCTGCTTACTGTAAATCCTGGGTGACAACATCTGTGACGGTATCAGTAGGCTGAAGAAAGAAAAGAAGCAGGGGGACATTTTTAGAAGCAGCATTAGTATTCTCAAGAAGTCAGAACAATTGCCCATTGATAATTAATGTGAAGTTTTCTTCCCAAATGATTTGGATCCTTCTCTGCAAAGTACTTCTGTTTTTTCTGAGTGGATCTTTTAATTATTTTTTTCCTATAGTTTTAAAACATTACCAGATTCATAGCAGTTGATTGGAATATACTAGGCAATTGGAAAAATACTCAACTAAAACGGTATTAGAATGAAGATTTGTTTTTAGGTAGATGTCCATTAAAAACAAAGCGTTTGGATGTGTGATGTTTCTTTATATGCTACTAAGTAAGTTATAATGAGTAGACAAATCTCTCTCTTTGTCATGGAGGCTCCACATTCAAGGCAATTGCTTTTGTAAACATTGGCTATCTGAAAAAACTTCCCTTTGTTTTGATTATTTGTATGTTATTAAAAAGTTAATGTCAGCCAATGAACTGAATTTATGCTTCTGTCCTGGGGCACATTCAAGTGACTGAGTGTAGTAGCGCTGCTGCTGCCTTTTTAGTTTAATATGTATGACTTGGCGTTTTAAAATACAAATTATGAAGTTATTTGTGGAGAAACTAAAGAAGTTGCACAACTGACCGAAAGAAAACACTTGGGGTAAGTTTAGTGGAGGAATTGGAATCTCCAAACGACTAACATTTTTCTCCTGATTTTAACAAATGAGATGCCCTCCCTGTTAGTCCCTAAGGATTCTTCATTGCCTACTATGCCAGATTCTAAAATAGTTATTTTTAAAATGGAATCTATATATTGACTTTCTTATCAATCATCTTATTGTGCAATCAAAATTAGAGTTCTTTGGTTTGAAAACAACACTTAGAGCCTCCAGATAACTTTTAAGACTTATTTAGCTTTGTGGGTGGTATTTTCATGCAAATAAGTAAGGGTGGGTTTTATATTTTGTAGACGTTTTGGTCCTATTTTAATGCTCTTTGTATGGCAGTATGTATATAATGTGTTAAGTTCCTCAAGAATCTCTCCTTAAAAACTTTGAAGTTAATACTTTTTTGTGTAACTGTGTTTTGAATAAAGCCATGACAGTGTTAAAAACAAACAAACAAAAATGCAGTACTCTTGATCATTCTTTTAATGTTTCTGACCCCTGTTTTTTCTGTGACTGCTGTAACTTAAAAGTTTTTGAAACTGAATTGCTTCAATAAATTGAAAATTTGTTATAATGATTCGTTTTCAGTGTATAACATTCATTTTAAAAATAATACCATTGGTGACTTTTATCTTTCGATTGGAATATACTAGGCAATTGAAAAAATACTCAACTAAATCGATATTAGAATGAAGTTTTGTTTTTAGGTAGATGTCCATTAAAAACAAAGCGTTTGGATGTGTGATGTTTCTTTATATGCTACTAAGTAAGTTATAATGAGTAGACAAATATCTCTTTGTCATGGAGGCTCCACATTCAAGGCAATTGGTTTTTTAAATATTGGCTCTCTGAAAAAATTTCCCTTTGTTTTTTTTTTTTTTGTTATTAAAAAGTTAATGTCAGCCAATGAACTGAATTTATGCTTCTGTCCTGGGGCACATTCAAGTGACTGAGTGTAGTAGCGCTGCTGCTGCCTTTTTAGTTTAATATGTATGACTTGGCGTTTTAAAATACAAATTATGAAGTTATTTGTGGAGAAACTAAAGAAGTTGCACAACTGACCGAAAGAAAACACTTGGGGTAAGTTTAGTGGAGGAATTGGAATCTCCAAACGACTAACATTTTTCTCCTGATTTTAACAAATGAGATGCCCTCCCTGTTAGTCCCTAAGGATTCTTCATTGCCTACTATGCCAGATTCTAAAATAGTTATTTTTAAAATGGAATCTATATATTGACTTTCTTATCAATCATCTTATTGTGCAATCAAAATTAGAGTTCTTTGGTTTGAAAACAACACTTAGAGCCTCCAGATAACTTTTAAGACTTATTTAGCTTTGTGGGTGGTATCTTCATGCAAGTAAGTAAGGGCAGGTTTTATATTTTGTAGACATTTTGGTCCTATTTTAATGCTCTTTGTATGGCAGTATGTATATAATGTGTTAAGTTCCTCAAGAACCTCTCCTTAAAATCTTTGAAGTTAATACTTTTTTGTGTAACTGTGTTTTGAATAAAGCCATGACAGTGTTAAAAATAAACAAAAAAATGCAGTACTCTTGATCATTCTTTTAATGTTTCTGACCCCTGTTTTTTCTGTGACTGCTGTAACTTAAAAGTTTTTGAAACTGAATTGCTTCAATAAATTGAAAATTTGTTATAATGATTCGTTTTCAGTGTATAACATTCATTTTAAAAATAATACCATTGGTGACTTTTATCTTTTACTTATTTATTTATTTTTTATTATCAGAGGGTGAATGCGCTTGCCAAGGGGGGAGAGAGGGAATGCACCCCTCAAGGGAGCCTGGTTACGCTGTAACCCCTTTTCTTCCATTTTCTGTCAGGATTGTGGGCATGCACGCACATGTGCCTGCTGTGCTTTTCAAGCTGCTGGTGCCAGGATTTGAAGCAGTCAGGCACGGGGGATCTGTCTTTCTGTGCACAGGGCTTAAACTTTATGCTATGGGGTGGTCCCCAAAGGTCTTTCAGAGAAACAGCTGGAAAGTTAACATTCAAACATTTGGATATGATATTAGGCATTACGATTTAATAGTTTTAACTCACTGTCCTTCATATTATATATATATATATTTTTTTTTTTTGAGAGGTTTTTGCTATAGGGTGCATGCGTTCACCAGACAGAGAGAAACAGAGAGACAGAAAGTGAGAAATCACCCCCCAGGGGGGATGGCCACACTGCAATCCCTTCCCCATTCTCTCAGGATCCTGGGCACGGATGCACACGCACCTGGCGTGAGTTTAAGCCACCAAGTCCGGGACTCGAGCTGCAGTCGGCTACATGGGAGTCCAATGACATAGCCATTATTATTATTATCCCTATATTTTTTTTTCTGGGACCAGCAGTTAGCGTAATGATTATGTCACTGAAAAAAAAATTTTTTTTTCTAAGGAGTAGAAAAAATTATGGGTCCCTCTTATCTTCCTTTTAGAGTTGCAGATTGAGCCATTACTTTTTATATTTTGATTTCTAGTATATTTCATACAGTTGATGAAGCTGTAAAGTGATTATAAAATTATTGTACATCAGTCTTTTTTTTTTTTTTTTTTTAATAAAAGGAGCTCCACACTCTGAATACTGAGATTCTTATTGGGGGCCAGATGGTGGTGCAGTGGTAAAAGGTGACACTGACCCACATGGAAGGTTTTGGCACTTGCCCATGATCTGGGGCTGGCTGATGCTGGGCATGGATTGCAGCATCAAGACTGTTGGTGTTCATTCTCTTCTGTGGAATAATTAAACTTAAGGGAAAAAAGGACTCTTGAGGGACCAGCAGTTAGCATAGTGGCTATGTCGCTGGACTCCCATGTAGTCTACCGCGGTTCGAGTCCCGGACCCAGTGGCTTAAACTCACGCCGGGTGCATGTGCGTGCGTGCCCAAGATCCTGCGAGGAGAATGGAGGAGAAGGGATTGCGGCGTGGACATCCCCGCTGGGGGGTGATTTCTCGCTTTCTGTCTCTCTCTCTCTGTCTTTCTGGTGAGTGCATGCGCCTTATAGCAAAAAACCTCTCCAAAAAAAAAACCCAATCTTGATAGTATGCATACAAATCTACATAATTTGCAAGTATTTACCTCACTGATGAGTGCACACACCTTATAACATATTTAGAAAAATTAAAGTTTCACTTGTATACAGTTTTTTTTAATTTAATTTTATTCATTTTTTTATTATAATTTGATCAGAGAGAGAGAGAAAGTGAGAAAGCAAGCCACCAGGTCTGGGACTCCAACTTTGGTCGACCATGTGGGAGTTTCCAGTGCCTTAACCAGCACGCCTCCTGCTGGTCCCTCACTTGTATACAGTTGTAATAAATGTGTTTTGTGAAGTCAAGGCACATGTGTAATGCCAGGTGAGGTCTTCATGGCTGCATTATGATTAAATGTTGAAAAGTATTTTATTGAGTCATTGGGAAAGTTACGACACATTATTGTATAGAAAAACAGAAAAATATCATGACTCTTCTAAAAACCCAATAGTTATAGAACTTCCTGAGAGATAGAGTCAAAGAAAGTGAGAAATCATCCCCCAGAGCAAGGAGTTTGGCCAAGCAGCAATCTCTTCATTCTTTCAGGATTTGGGGCATACATGCACATATGTTTTTCAAGCCACTGGGTCCAGGACTTGAACCATGGGGTTCCTTTTTCGTCTTTAAAAAACTCAAAGCTTGGAGCCAGCAGATTAGCATAGCAGTTATGTCACTGGACTCCCACACATGGTTGACCACAGTTCGGGTCCTAGACCTGGTGGCTTGAAACTCAGACCAGACAATGTGTGTGCATGCCCAAGATCCTGGGAGGAGAATGGAGGAAAAGGGATTGTGGCATGGCCATCCATCCTGAGGGTGATTTTTCACTTTCCTTCTTTTTTTTGGAGAGATTTTCGCAATAGGGCACGTGCGCTTGCCAGACAGACAGAGAGAGACATAGAGACAGAAAGTGAGAAATCATCCCCCAGGGAGGATGGTCACGCCACAATCCCTTCTCCGCCATTCTCCTCTCGGGATCTTGGGCAGGCACGCACACGCGCCCGGCGTGAGTTTTAAGCCACCGGGTCCGGGATGTGAACCGTGGTCGACTACGTGGGAGTCCAGCGACATAGCCATTACGCTAACTGGTGGTTCCTTCCTTCTTAAACATCTCTTGTCTCCCTTTCTCTTTGGTGAATGCACATACACTAAGGCAAAAACCTCTAAAATAAATACCAAAAAAATTCAAAGCCTTTCCCCCTTGGTTATAAAAAACAACGGTAAAAGTACACTGAAAGTTTTGGGCAAAGTTGTTAGATAATGAAGCGAATCAATGAGAGATTCTGATTCCAGACACTTAAGGATTGGTTATTCCTAGTTCTATGTTGTGAAGAGGCTTTGGAACATGACATTCTTCCAATTGCTGGTATTTCCCTGTGTTTCTGGTACTGGAAGCAGTGATACTCTGCAGCTGCTGCTTAATAATAGCATTCCGCTACTGCATGCCTTTTTCATGTACTAATCAGTCTAAGACTTAAGAACCTGGCATGTCTACTTTGGCTGGAGGCAGCTACTTGTGTTACTAGGCTACTGAACAGCCCTAACTTGAAGGAGAACAGGTTATACTACCAAATGGAAATTACCAAATGAGTTAATCTCCAGGAGAATCTTTTTTTTTTTTTTTTAAGAGAGATTTTTTTTGCTAAAGGGCGTGTGTGCTTGTGGGAGAGATAGACAGACAGACAGTGAGAAATCACCCCCCAAGGGGTTGGCCTTGCCTCAATCCCTTCTCTTCCAGTCTACTCTTGGGATTTTGGGCACTCATGAACACCAACCCAGCATGAGCTTTTTTTTTTTTTTTTTTTTTCCACTATATTTATTTAACTTTATTCATTCATTCATTCATTTTTAATTTGACCAGAGAAACACACAGACAGAGAGAGAGAGAGAAGGTGAGAAAGCTAGCCACCAAGTCCAGGACTTGAACCATGGTCAGCCATGTGGGAGTGTGCCTTAACCACCCCCCCACCCGCTGGTACCTCAGCATGAGTTTTAAGCTGCCCAGTTCGGAACTCAAATCCGGGACTCAAACTGTAGTTAGCTATGCAGTTCAACGATGTGACCATTATACCATTGAGCTGGGCCTGCCAGGAGAATCTTTAAATGACTTTGTACACTGGTAACATACTTTTACTTCATACAAATATAGTCAATTGTTTGGGTGGCAAGGCCTTGAAGTAGAATTAACTCATAATTACAACTTTTTTTTAAAAAGAATTATT